TGACAGCCTCAGCTTCTTGACCCCTGGGTTTCTTATCATTGGAGTCAGGTACCAGGCCTCTGTGTCCTCTGAAGTTTTAGGGGACACAAAGTCTCTGAGTGGAAGTCCCCTTGAAGCTCCTCTTTCCTGACTTGCACTGAGGAAGGTCCCCTTACCTCCTACCGTCATGGTGGGGAATAGAAAATGCAGAGAATGCCAACAGCTTTCCCTAGAGAACTACTTTCTTTTGGCCTTTTCAATTTTAAACCCCTTTATATCTTGGGTATTGGGCTAAGGATCACAAGACCATTTGGAAATCCTTATTTTAGAATATGGGAGTGTTTGCAACCTATTATTTTCAATTTTTTGGAACTTTAGTTCAAACAAAAAGGGTCCAATTTGGGGCCAAATGATAGGAAAATACAGTTCACAGAAAAAGAAATGCAAATGGCTCGCAAACGTAAGAAAAGATGCTCAACCTTACTTTTAAGAAAAGTGCAAGTTAGTGAGGTATCATTTCTCACCCGTCAATGAGAAAGCCAGAGATTTAACAACACAGTCTCTTTTGAGGCTGTGGGGAAATAGGAACTCAAACGTTGTTAGTGAGAGTACAGAACGGTACAACCTTTATGGAAGGAAATCTGGCAATATTTACATTGCCTTTGTCTTTAACCCAGCAATCCACCTCTGGGACCTATCCTATGGATTCACCTGCACATGTTCCAAATGACACATGAACAGGGTTATTCATTATGACGTGGCTTATGATAACAAAAGCTTAGAAACAACCCAAATGCCTCTCAGGAGGAAACTAGTTACATGAACTATGATACTTCTATGTACACAATGGAATACCCTGAGTTGTAACAAAGGAATGAGGAAGGACTCTATGCATTGAAATGGGGAGATCTTTAAGCTGTATTGTTTTAATGAGGAAAACAAGATGGAGAGTAGTGTATATCGTACGCTATCTTTTATGTAAGAAAGAGAGGGAATGAGAATATTTATTCAATTTTACATAAAGAAACACAGGAATGATAGCAATGAGTTGATGTAAATGGTTACAAATGGAGCAAGGAAGAATGGGGTGGAGGTGGACAGGGTGAGAGTGAGCCTTTTAAGTGTTTATCTTCTTATTTTGTTTTGTTTTTAAACATGTAAGTATATTACTATCAAAAACATAAAAAAAAATTTCATAAGGAAAAAGTTCCATTTAATATCCTATTACACATGTGTCAAATAAAAATATGATGGGTACTGCTTAGTTTCCTTCTAAACCCAAGACACTTAGATTTGGATAAGTTTGGTTTAATTTTCCATCACAAAATTGGTGGGGCATCCAGTGCTGTCTTTGAAGATTTCTGAAAATTCCATGAGGGGGTAAAGGTGGATGTGTTATATTTCCATGATCAACTCTAGGGCCTACTTTATGCTTCCTATGAATTAATTTAGCAGATGGATCATCTCATCCTCCTATGTGGGGTCCCTGTTCCCGCCTGCATCGACTCACCTGTGGAACTCAGCTCCTTTTCATGATTTCCACCCAAAGTTTCACTAAGGACTTGGGGCGTTTAGATAACGTGAATGGAGAGTGTATTAGTTTCCTACTGATGCTGTAACAAATTGCCACACATTTGGTAGCTTTCAACCACACAAATTTATTATTTTACAGTTCTGGAAGTCGGAAGTTTGCTGTGAGTCTCACTGGTCTAAAGTCAAAGTGTTGGCTGAGCTGTGTTCCTTCTGGAAGCTCGAGGGAGAATCCATTTGTTTGCCGTTTCTAGCTTTTAGAGGCTGCCTATATTCCTTGACTGTGGCCTTTCCTTCATCTTCAAAGCCAACAGTGTGGCATCTTTGAATCTCTCTCTGACTCTGACTCTCCTGTCCACCCCTGCCCCCACTTCATTTATAGGAGATTACAGTGGGCCTCCCTGTATAATCCAGGATAATCTCCCATCTCAAGATCCTTAACTTAATCACATCTACAAAGTTCCTTTTACCATGGAAGATAACTTATCCACAGGCTCTGGGATTAATATGTGGACATTTTTCTGCCAATAACAAGAGAGTATTATATTTTAGATACTCAAATAATTAAAAGTGGATGTTAGTTATCTTTGTTCTTCGAAGTTTCCTTCCTTTCCCATCCCTTCCCATCTTCATTCTTTATCAAATCCCCTAAATTCCTGAAATGCAGAACAACTCATCTATGTCTTCCTTTTTTTTAACCAAAGTAATTTACCAAAGTAATTTTTTAAACAAGAGTAGTTTCCTCCTTAAAAATTCTGTTGCCAGCTGTTAACTTAAACTTTATATTTTTAAAATTTTTATATTTTGAAAATTTCCCAAAGTTTCTGAATGTTGAATGTACTTCAACTCAATGTACAGCACTTGTTTCACAGTGCTGATTCAGATTTCTTAAAAAATTTTTGTGAATCTTTGGTAATGTGATTTTGGGGGACAACTAGAAACTAGAAGATGAAATATTTGAGAGAGAATTATAGCAAAGGCTATATATGCTTTTTTTTTTTTTTTTTTTGCGGTACGCGGGCCTCTCACTGCTGTGGCCTCTCCCGTTGCGGAGCACAGGCTCCCGACGCGCAGGCTCAGCGGCCACGGGTCATGGGCCCAGCCGCTCCGCGGCATGTGGGATCTTCCCAAACCGGGGCACGAACCTGTGTCCCCTGCATCAGCAGGCGGACTCTCAACCACTGCGCCACCAGGGGAGCCCTATATATGCTTTTTTATTTCTTTATTGCTGCTTAACAACTTACCACAAACGTAATGGCTTAAACTAGTACACATTTATTATCCTCCAGTTTTTATGGGTCAGGAATCCAGGTTTGGTTTAGTTGGTTTCTCTGCTCAGGGTATCACAAGTCTGCTAGGGAGGTGTTGGCTAGGTTGCATCTTCATCAAGAAGCTCGACTGGGGAAGATTCCCCTTCCATGCTTATTCATATTGTTGGCAGAATCCATTTCCTTGTGGTCATATGGCTAAAGGGCCCAACTTTTTGCTGACTGTCAGCTGGAAGCTGTCCTCGGGTCCTAGATGTCAGTCATAGCTCGTAGAGGGCCATTTGTAGTTGTTTGCCAGGTGGGCTTCCTACACAGACAGCCCAATTCATCAAGTCAGCAAGGACAATCTCTGAACACAGGGAGGGCCCAGTTACTCTTTTTTTTTTTTTTTTTTTTTTTTTTTTTGCGGTCCGCGGGCCTCTCACTGTTGTGGCCTCTCCCGTTGCAGAGCACAGGCTCCGGACGCGCAGGCTCAGCGGCCATGGCTCACGGACCCAGCCGCTCCGCGGCATGTGGGATCTTCCTGGACCCGGGCACGAACCCGTGTCCCCTGCATCGGCAGGCGGACTCTCAACCACTGCACCACCAGGGAAGCCCCTAGTTCCTCTTTTAAAGGGCTTTCATCTGACTAAGTCAGGCCCACCCAGGATAATCTACCTTTAACTAACCAAAAATAAACTAATTTGGAACCTTAATTACATCTGCAAAAGCCCTTCACTTTTTCCATATTCTGTTGGTTAGAGCTAAGTCACACTCAAGGGGAAAAAATTATACAGGCTGTGGACACCAAGTGGCAGAGATTATGAGGGTCACCTCATAGAATTTTGCCTACCATAAGTTACTAAAGAAAAAAATCAATTATAGACTTTAAATTCTACCACAATTTTTCCTAGGCTCTTCTGACAGGGCTACTTAACTTTATAGCAAAAGCCTAGGAATACTTCTATTTTCTCTATGGAGAGGTACCAAGGCTGCCGGGAGTGGAAGTGACCAATGGCCAGAGGTTTCAGGAAGGTAACCGGGTCTGGAAGACTGCCGTCTCCCCTTGGACTGGATGCGTTCCCTTGAGTGAGACACAGAGATTTGGGGAAGGGAAAGAACACCATTTCCCTGGGTCCATGGGCATGTGTCCCATCTCCTAGCCTTTGGGTTAGTAGGATTCAGGATTTGTGAACTTGGCCTGCAAAAGTCTATTTCCGCCGAACTCTAGTGAGCCTAGTGTATGGCCTGTAGGGTGAGTTGTCCTATAGTCCCTATAAAGGGCCATCCTGAGTCTTGGTGGGCTGGGCTGGGCAGGGTAAGGCAATATTGACTAGGTTCAAGGCTTCCAGAGGGTGGTGAGAGCTCCAGGGACCAGCGCTGGAGAGCACAAAGGTCCTTCCCAGCCCCAAGACCCTCCATAACCAAGGACTTGGCAGTAGCTGTGTGCAGCTGAGAATGGCTGAGACTGAGGGTAAAGCACGTACAGTTCTTGCCACAAGTTATGATTCCTTCTGTCCAAGGGGCCTTCCAGTGAAGAGTGAACCTTAGAACCTGAAAGAGGGCTCAGCTCCAAGAACCAGAGGGAACTTGTGTTGTCTTGGGATGATCACTGTGAATTGAGGTCTCACAGAGATGAACACCAGATGATGCAGACACTGATGCTTTGCTGTGCTGGGATGGTCAGGGACAACCATGAGGTTCTCCACCATTCTGCTTTCTGGCCAAAGAGGGGCAGAGCCCAGGAAAGGGGAATTGTTATCACAAGACCTAGGAAGGGGCAGCAGATGGGCAGCGCATCTCTTGCACCAAACGAGGAAGACAGTGTCTTGGTCCTGGTCAGAGAGTATAAATGTCCATACTGTGTGTGGCCCTGTAAGGGATATGGTGCACGGGGCTGCCAGACTCAAGGACTCCAGTCTGTCTGCAGCTTGCTGCCAAGGGGACAAAACAGCTGAGTCTGACTTGACTGCCTGTGATCAGCATTCATGAGCATTTTTACTGGATTTCTTGTAGAAAATTAACACATAGCTATCTGGTCTGAATTTGTGCATCTGGAACAGCTCACTGGATTAGATGGAGGCTGAAGGAACTCCACAAGGGTAAAAGGACCAGCCCCCATACTGACCTCGTGAGACTGCATCTCAGTGTCCAGCTGTAACACACCCCTGGTGTCAACCCCTTTCCTCCACTTCCCCTCCTCTCTGCAGCCACTCCTCGGACTTCCTCTCCCTCAACCTGCAGGCTGCTGCTGCAGACCCCTGCAGACCTCTGTAAAGAGATCACTCAGATGGGGCTGGAGCTAGAATAGAGCTGGAACCTACACTGGAGATACAGCTGGGAGGGCACATGAGTTTCACTGTGAGCCAGGCATGGAAAGACCAAGGCTTGTCACTGGATGAGATAGAAGAAACAGAGACCTACTTCTGGACGGCAGGAGGCTGTCTGCTTTCCTGGAGGGGCACACAGTGCCGAACAGACTTGGGGAGTTGCCTGTGTGTCTCGGAGGGCTACCTATGTGCATTGGAGGGATACTTGTGTTTATTCTGCACTTGACCTGGGACTGTGGTCTGTATTGCACTCATAGCTTTCCAAGGCTGGCTGACCAGCACATCATCCTCAGCCTCTGCCTGCAAGTGAGTTGCCAACCGGCCCTTTATTGTCCACCCAGCTGTTGTCAGCTTCGTCACCCAGGTCACTGCCTTAATTCCTGGGCCTTCACCAGTTTCCCAAGAATAAATTGTTTGGACTACTTCTAGTCTGCTGCTGTGTATTAATTAGCCTGCATTTTTGGAAACTCTGATAAAGTTTCCAAACTGACTTACCTTTTTTTTGCTATATGACTCCTGCTTTGCATAATTGTTTGCTTCATCAACTGCCATGCTGCATTCTGGTAAAAACTGAAAGAAAAAGAAATCGTTAGAACTGAGCAATGGGGAAAACGACTTCTTATGAACCGATGCTTCCTGAGTGGAATGAGAGCCTGAGACTGGAGCCTGAAAGAGAGGCTTCACGGCTCTGCTGAACTTTTAAGCATTTCAACTGAGAAGCTCCAAAATCCTCTGATCTTAGTGAATTCCTATCTAATTCTGAAGAGATTCCCCAGGAACCCCACACTGAGGGTGGTGATAGGCCACTAGAATCATTTAAATCTGTGTTTATAAGATTTACAAGTATTTATAAGTATTCAGTATAAACTGAATACTTACAGTGAAAAGAAAGCTTTAAAAAAAAAAATCCATAGCACACCGGGATGAGATATGACACCCAGTGAAAGAATTCATAGCTTAAGTTACCCTGAGTTATACTGTGTTTTGGAAGTGCTCTGAGCTCAATACTTATGCCACGTACTCTAAGACCAAAGTACACAGATTTTTTTTATTATTATTATTCTCAGGAGTAAGCTTGCTGAATCACCACAGGCTTTTTGGTTTTTTAACTACCAGTTTGCTGAATGTCACTGTCCATTTGACTTGGAGTTGCTCTAGGTCCACCCTAGAGCCCACCTTTTGAGCCTGTCATTTGGCAAAGTGCATTATTGGTGGTCCTTCCTGCTAAGTATAGAGCTTGGTAGCAATTTCAAATTAGTGGGGAATGATTGATTATTAGGGAAGTGTGGGAATCAATGTCTAACGATTTGGGGAACCATTGTTTGCAATAAATATGATTAACAACGAAGGGAAGCCTCTTGCACTGTTGGTGGGAATGTAAATTAATGCAGCCACTATGGAGAACAGTATGGAGGTTCCTTAAAAAACTAAAAATAGAACTACCATATGACCCAGCAATCCCACTACTGGGCATATACCCTGAGAAAACCATAATTCAAAAAGACACACGCACCCCAGTATTCATTGCAGCACTATTAACAATTGCCAGGACATGAAAGCAACCTAAACATCTATCAATAGAGGAATGGATAAAGAAGTTGTGGTACATATATACAATGGAATATTCCTCAGCCATAAAAAGGAACTAAATTGGGTTATTTGTAGAGACGTGGATGGGCCTAGAGATTTAGTGAAGTAAGTCAGAAAGATAAAAACAAATATCGTATATTATCACACATATGTGGAATCTAGAAAAATGGTATAGGTGATATTATTTGCAAAGCAGAAATAGAGACACAGACGTAGAGGACAAACATATGAATACTAAGGGGGAAAGGGGCGGGTGGGATGAATTGGGAGAATGGGATTGACATATATAAACTATTGATGCTATGTATAAAATAGATAACTAATGAGAACCTACTGTATAGCTCAGGGAATTCTACTCAGTGCTCTGTGGTGACCTAAATGGGAAGGAAATCCAACAAAGAGGGGATATATGTACACGTATAGCTGATTCATTTTGCTGTACAGTAGAAACTAACACAACATTGTAAAGCAACCATACTCCAATAAAAATTAGTTTAAAAAAGAATAAAAGCTGTTTAAAATCAATTTAAAAAATGAGTTAATAGGCTTACTATATAGTAGTCTTACACATCAATAACAAAAACTGTAAGATCCTCTTGCAAGGGGAAAAGAATGATCAGACAGTTCACAAGTTCTGCTGTTATTTTTCTCTGGAAGTCACACCTGTATTTTAATTTTTCTTGCACCAGCAAAAATGAAGCAAGAAATGAAAAACATAACATGGGAGTAGGAAGCCAGGTGGACATCAGACAGCTGATCAAAATGTTCACTGTCCAAAGGCTAGGTGTGGTTTCCATCCTAGCTCACACAGCCTGTGTCTTCGACCTTTCTATTCCCAGATAACACTTTTTTCTTTTCTTGCCTAATACTGCTCTTCTCTAATTGATAGCTTCCAATGGATCATATCTGTCTGAGGCGTGTTTCTTAAACCCTGAGGAGGATTTGATGTGTATCCTCTATCTGGAATATAGCCAGGAAACTTCCCAGTACTCTTTCAAAGAAATGAGACTGGAAGTGTGAAATCTAGTCCCGTCCTGTTAGTTTAGCATTCATTGTGAGCAGACTGGACTCTTGCCCAGCTGAAAGAAGCTGACGTCGTCTGCTTTCATTTGACCCTGAATTTCCCCTCTGATTGAGACATCAGTCCAACCTTCATTTCACAACACCCAGCAAATATTTTACTGAATGCCTTCAGTGATGGAGTTTCTACACTACAAGCAGAATGACAAGCAGAAAGACAAGAGGGAAGGGGTGCAAAGAAGAAGAGGGGAGGGGGTAGCAAAGGTTACTCAGGTGGAGTTTGAGCTGGACCTTGAAGGATTAGGAGGGTTTTATCAGGCAGAGAAGACTAGGAGGGAAATTCCAGTAATGGAAGGGGGGAGGGGTATAAGAATATGAACAAAGGCAGGAAATTTCATGAAAAGACATTAAAGATCACAATAGAGGGATGGACCAACGTAAGAGAGACATTACCAGAGTAAAATGAAGGAGTTGATGGTGCACTGGATTGGCTGGGTGCTGGAGGGATGCAGGGAGGTACATATAGGAAGGGGAAGATATGCTTATTAAGCCTTTGAAAATAACATTTAGAAAGAACATCTGCTACACAATTTGTGACTCTAATGAGACTTCTTTCCCCCAAACATACTAGATATTCATTTAAATATACTTCTTCAAAGTAGTTACTTTGAAAAACTAAATAAACACTTATTCCAGTGGTGCTGTTAGTGTTTGAAAAATCTTTAGAAATCCCCTTTGGGAATTGCCTTCAGAATTTGTTTATGAGCTACCAAAGAACATCAAGCAGTTTTATTACCTCACGGTTTTCTGTCTCTGTTTCTCTACATACGGTGACAACATTATATATGCATATAAAACATGTATCATTAAAACTGAACTGAACCAACCTTTTTATTGTAGTATAGTTGATTTGCAATGTTGTGTTAATTTCTACTGTACAGCAAAGTGATTCAGTTACATATGCATTCTTTTTTAAAAAATTAATTTATTATATTTATTTTTGGCTGTGTTGGGTCTCCGTTGCTGCGCGGGGGCTTTCTCTAGTTGACGCGAAGGGGGGCTACTCTTCGTTGTGGTGCGCGGGCTTCTCATTGCAGTGGCTTCCATTGTTGTGGAGCACGAGCCCTAGGTGCGCGGGCGTCAGTAGTTGTGGCTCGCGGGCTCTAGAGCACAGGCTCAGTAGTTGTAGCGCACAGGCTTAGTTGCTCTGCGGCATGTGGGATCTTCCCGGACCAGGGCTCGAACCCGTGTCGCCTGCACTGGCAGGTGGATTCTTAACCACTGCTCCACCAGGGAAGCCCTATACATTCTTTTTTAATATTCTTTTATATTAAGGTTCATCACAGGATATTGAATATAGTTCCCTGTGCTATACAGTAGGACCTAGTTGTTGTTTACCATTGTATATATAAAATATTTTGCATCTGCTAACCCCAACTTCCCACTCCATCCCTCCTCCACCCTCCCTCCCCCTTGGCAACCACAAATCTGTTCTCTATGGACATTTCTTTTACAAGCTAGAACATGTGAGGGGACTTACCTGGCGGTCCAGGGGACATGGGTTCAGTCTCTGGTCGGGATCCCTCATGCCGCTTGGCATGGCCAAAAAACAAAAACAAAAACACTAGAACATGTGGCAAATGGCTTTTACCTATTTCCAAAAATTGAATACAATCTGAAAAAACATTTCACTTACGGACTCAGAACACCCCCAAAAAATGTGCTTCAGGCTCTGACAGCAATCTTCAAAGGGGGATTCCAGCAGTATTGAGCCTCCACAGAATTGAATTCATGTGGACCTCCACAAGTGACCTCCACAGGTGACTGTTGCCACAGGGACCTTGTCCCACGATTAGATACATTCTGGGGAATTTCTGTCATCGTGGCTGGACAGGTTGTCATATGACAGTTTATGGTCCATGTTGGCTTCCTATGCAGTCACTCATGATCAGAGGCCCCCTTCGCCAAGTCCCCCGTGAAGACTTTGCCAAACCTGGGAAGGGAAGGGTTTTCCTAAAACCATCGGACACTAAGACCACCTAACGGCAGAGTCTGAGGAGGACCGGACTTCAGCTCACTGTCCATTCAGGCTTCGTTTCACAAAAGCAGAGTCCTTTTGCAGAGGGAGGAAAGCCTTTCCGGTGACTGGAATGGGGAAATAGGCAGCGGTGTTACTCTAGGTACTGAATGCACTCTGGGGCAGACAGGACATGTCCTGTCCACAACCACATTCCAGGGCAATGTTCTGGATCCAGAAAGAATGCAAAGCTTAGAAACAGCTGAACAGTATTCCTGGAAGGTACACACCGCAAACAGGCAGCTGTGATTCCTCAATAAATTGCCCAAAGGGCATGAGTGTGTGTGTATGGTA